CATGATTTTTTTTTAAAAAACAATGTGGACTAAAATTGATTCTGGAGAGTCTCCGGGATTAGGGGCCCTGAAGCTTCAGCTTCAATAGTTTCAGAGCAGATCCATCCCTGGTCAGATGACAACATGCGGGCTATGGAGCAACCACCTTCCCGCAACCTGGTGGAAGGCCTTTTAAAGGGTGGCCCCTGCCTTTTGGAATTCTTTCCCCCTCCCTATGACTGAAGAGGTGTCTACGGATATGTGTTTAAGGCAGAACTTTGGAAAAGTTGCTTTTTTGGATCAGAATTCCCCCATCAGCAACCAGGGGGGTCTTGGGTGTTGTAATCCTAGAAAGGAACTTCTAAGCTTTTGTTTTAAGCACCAGGTGGTTTTACCCACCAGCTCTTCCCAAGCACACTCTCCAGCACTGCAATTGTGTCTGAGACAATGAATTTCAGTGTTTATATTGATGGTTTCTTTATGTTTTCTGTATTTTCCTTGGTTCTTTTTGCTTCATTTTAAATTGATTTTATATCTTCTACATTTCTTTGAAATATTTTTTTAACATGGCTGAAATCCTGTTGCGTAGCTCTGCCTGCACCGTGGGAATGACATCAGCTAATTGCCACTGATTAAATGTTTCCTTTCATGATTTTGAGGTGCATGGTGACGTTTTCACATTGTGCATGAGTCATGCGCATCCTAAAATTGACAAAGGAATCCACCAATGTCATTCCTACGGTGCAGGCACAAATGTGCGACAGAGTTTCAGCCATTGATGATTAGATAGATAGATAGATAGATAGATAGATAGATAGATAGATAGATAGATAGAGAGAGAGAGAGAGAGAGAGAGAGAGAGAGAGAGAGAGAGAGAGAGAGAGAGAGAGAGAGAGAGAGAGAGAACTTGGGTCCGGAATAGGTTTTTTGGAATACAATTTTGGGAAGCAATGTGGTGGAAACAAGAGCCTATATCCAATTGTTAATTCTAGATATCCATTGAATCAAATCAGCCATGTACATACATCCCATTAATGTAAGTGAGTCTACCTTAATTGGAAATAGGAATTGGATTTAGACAAGTTCCTACTCTTTAGGCTGTTTGCAATAGGCAAGATCCTTTTACACTTTTGCCTTCGTTCGCTATTAGCTGCATTTACATCCTACCTTTTCTCTAAAGAGTTCAAGGCAATATTTCCCCACAACCCTGTGAGGTAGGTCATATGGTGAGAGAGATACAGAATCCAACTAGGCTTCAAATCATGAAAAGTGGATTCTGGAAGCTATAACCACAGAACTGAATTTTCCTGTCTCCGACGTTAACATATCAGTTGAAATCCTGTTACTTAAGTGTAATAAGCTGCAGCTAGGGTAGGCTAATTTGAATCAATGGGACTCATAGAGGAGATGACTCATCAAATCCCCACTAATTCAGTGGGTTGTGTGACTTACTATGCTAAGCAACAGGATTTCAGCCAAGACATTCTAGCCTGACTTTCTGTTCTCTCCTCTATTGTGCAAATCCTCAAACCATCCTGTTTTGGCTTCCAAGTGCATCACAGCACTTAATTAATTGTACAAAATGTAGTTGCTGTCAAAAGGATCCTTGAGAAGCCACTGAGCTTTCAAGCCTCTGAAATGCAGCCACTGTAAAAGCAAAATGTTTGCATTACATTTTGCCTTACTACAGTCTTCACCGCGTTCGTATCTTTCTTCAAAGGACTGCACGACAAGAGACATATGCTTCCTTTATCCTCACATGACAACCCTGAAAGGGATTTACAGGGAGAAATGAAGGAAGGTCAGTCTTCCTCGTTGTGATTTTCCTGGCTCATTTCAGATTTGAATCCAGGTCTCTTTCCTATCCCAGGCTTCACACTCTCCTCACGACCCCCCAACACTGATTCTCCACTTATCTGAGGTAAGAGAAGGGTTTTAATTTTCAAGAAAATAGATTACACCAAAAGTCTGTGCGATCAATAACAGTTTCCATGAAGGAACAGGTAAAAATTTAACGGCGCATTGTGGAAAAAGATTGCAATACCAAAGACTGACCTTTCCATGTTTGTCCTCTAAGAGTCGGTATTTAGAGGTAAGCTGTCCAGAAACAGAGACCCAACATAATCTGGCTCGTAGCCATCAATAGGCCTTCTCTTCCTCCATGAATTAGTCTAAGATTTTTTTTTAAAGTGCTCCTTAGCCTGCACTCCACCACTGCATCTTGTGGCAGACAGTTCCACTGGACAACATATGCAGAAAAAAAAACTTTTTGGACTATAGCTGCCAGAACCCTTCAGCCATTTTCACTGGCATTTCCATGCTGGCTGAGGGATTCTAGGGCTGCTAGTAAAAAGAAAAGAAAAAGAAGCAGCAAATTGAGCAAAACGAAGCTTCTCTCAATTGGCCTCATGGAAACAGAAACACCCTATTTTTTTCTCTCTCTCTTTTACTGGATCATGAAGGCACCTCTAGGGCCAATGCTATCCTGGAGTGAAGATTTATGGTATTGCGGGAAAAAAAGGCAGCAAACCTTAAGTTGCTTTAATTAACGAATGTTGTTGTTTCTTACTAAGGATGGTGAGAGGGGCTTGCAGGGTTTTCTGCCTGATTTGCCAAAATAACTTCCCAGCCGTTGATGGCAAACTAATTGGACTTGTGTGGATGGGGGTGCCCTTTGCCAGCAGCACAATGCTTTTGGGTTGGCCCCGTGGTGCCCATCCTAGAGCAGAGGGAGAGAAAATCATCTCTGGCCGCTTTCTCCCCGCGGCCAGGAGGGGATCACCGGCCCAGCTGCACGGGAGGGTCCCCAAAGTTTCAAGGGAGGGGGGCTGACTTCTGGTCAAGAACCAGTTATGACGGCTGCGCGGAGACGTAATGACTCTCTGCCTGACCACCTCCCCTATCTCCCAAATCTTCCAATGATAGAACAAGTGGTCCCATCATCTCTCCAGTGTTCTGGCCGCCCAGCCACTGGGTCAAAAGCCCAGATTATGAACGGCCATAACCATGCCTTACAGATGGACCCATTTATTTCTGTTCACCTTTAAGGTATCGCAAGGCTCTGGAGTATTCTGTGGTGGCAAACCAACCCATTTCATGGCACCAAATCTCTCGGTGTGGGCATCAAGTTGCCACAACTCATTGCGACTGATTAAAGAGGGGGGTGAGAGGGGTGTTCTGGCCACGGGCCCGGGCCCACACCTATTGGGGCAATGCCAATGTACTCCGCCACCTCACCAATTAGTTGCGGCACGTTACACAAACCTTCTGCGTACACACTGGTGAGCTTCCAGTCACTTACGCTTATGGTGCAAGCTTGCTTCCTGTAGCCCCAGAAAGTCGAATCCAAAGACGTGGATTCAGATTACTAATCTGACCTATGGATAGCTCAGCGGTTTAAGTACCCGAGAGCAGAGCAGAGTTCGAATCCCGCACTGGGCCTCCCTCACAGGGGCTGGAGGCGATGATCCGGAGGGTCTCCTTCCAGCTCTGCTGTTCTAAAGTTATAGATTATAATGGAGAACCCACCTTCTTGAGAGTAAGAGCTGCTCAACAAGTGGAATGGATTGCTGCCCCCCCAGGAGGTGCTGGGCTCTCCTTTTGCTGAGGTTGGGTAGCCACCTCAAGGGGACTGTGACTTGCTGCATCGGCTGGGGGGGGGGTTGGACTACATGATCTCAGGACTCCTTCCAGTTTCCCGTTCCCTTCTGCCATTCCCCCCTGCTCCCAGTTCTGCCCCCCCCCCCAGCGAGCAACAGGAGAGAGCAGAAGGAGCAGCTTCTGTGCCACTGTCGCCTGGTGCCCTGGCTCCTCGGATGGGTCTGCGCCCATGGGGTGCGCATGCCTTTGACACCCCACCTTTTCCCAAGAGGACTCAGATTTCAAGAACAAGAGGTGCCCACGGAGAAGCCAAAAGGTGGAGGTGTGCCCTTAATCTAAGCAGCCCCGGAGGGCAAGCCGGCAATTTCCAGGAGGTGGACAACCCGGGTTTGATCTTAATTTTGGAAACTGCACTTTTTACCTGTACCAGCAGCATATTCCTTTTTGGGCTGGCTGAACTGTTTTCCAACTTACTGTACTCTCTCTTTCGTAGCACTAAGAGCACACGATGCTGTGACCCCCTCGGTCTTCTTCCCCCTAGACCGGGGAAGCCTCTCTCCAGAAAAGCAGCTGGGGGGTATTTAAAGCAAACGCCCCAAAACACCTCGCCCAGGGTCCCTTTCCACCCATCCCCGGGGTGGGGTGCGCGCGTCTCTCCGAAGGACGGCGCTTCCTCGCCGAGCGCCGATCCTTCCCCGCCGGGTCTCCAGCCTCGAAGCGCTGCGGGAAAGGCAACCGACCCCGAGAAAGGGAGAAGGGGAGCCGGCTTAAGGCTTCCCCGCCTGGGGCAAAGGAGGCGCCGTCTCGGGCGCTCCGGAGCCGACGGCGCTCCTGCTGGCGGCCGAGCCTTCGTTGCTTGCCCGGCGACGGCAAGGGGAGAGGGGAGAGAAAACAAAGGAGATAACAGATTTGGAATAATGCAATTCCTGCATTGTTGTGTTTTGGCAGAATAACTGCTAAAAGAAAACAAAATACACACAAACCTCAAAAAAATCCCAAGCAAGGGAAAATAACCTGAAATGGAAATAGGAAGGTTTGATTTGAATCTGCTGTAGTGTCATATGGATCTGTCAAAGTTTAACTAGTTCAAATACAATGGGCAACTAACCCCCTCTTAGGAAAAAAATAGCATGGATGAGCTCTCAGGCTCGGTTTGACCGTCTCAAATGAAGCATTTGCTATATTGGCTACTTTGTTTTATGAAGGAGTTTACAAGCAGCAAACTATACTACATAACAGTGAATTGTAATAAAACAAAAATTCAGGAGATGATTTCATCTGTTAAATAACAATAGAAAACTCCAGATACATAAAGGTCACTCAAGTACGGCGCTCCTGCTGGCGGCCGAGCCTTCGTTGCGCGCCCGGCGACGGCAAGGGGAAAGCGGAGGAGGGGGGAGGCTGCGAAGTCCGTTACTCACACGTCCTTGGCCGGCAGGTCCTTTCCCTCCACCACGCGGAAGTGGAGCGACGTGTTCTTGGCCATGCCGCCGCCCGAGGCTGGCAAGGTTGGCAGGCTGGCAAGGCAACGGGCAGGCGAGGCGCGCGGAGGGCGGCGGCGGCGGTGGCGCTTCTTGCGCGCGGCTCCTCTCCGCCGGACAGCTGCAGAAAAGGAAAAGGGACCTCGCCGATGCCCCGACGGGCGGTCCGCCGGGATCGGTGCCCTCTAGATGCCTTGGGGGGGGGATGCTGAGATCCCAACGGGCCGAGGAGGAAAGCAGGCTGGCCAAGAAGGGATCGGTCCCTGTAGCCTATGCACCATGTCAAGCTGACGTAATACTCATCAAACCTCCCATTGGTGTTTTTGTGAGATCTGAGGTGCATCATTTGTCTAAAAGGTACTCCAGTTAGTAACAGTACAATTTAATCTTGATGCAAATGATATGTTTGAGACATGGGCATTTTAAAATAAAACCTTATAAAATCCTCTTTGTAAATTAATGTGAGTGTTAACTTAATGCTTCTAAAGCTAAAATACTATATTAATGGTGGGCACTGTGCTTCAAAATATACTGAAGGTTCTGAAACGTGTTAGCACCTAATCCCCATCTCCATCTCTTTCATCCAGATGAGAGTTTCTTCTGGACGAGACACCTCGGTGGAGTTCGAGACTGGATTCCCAGATTTGGGTGCGGGACGGGTGGGGGGAGAGGGAAATGCCTCGAGCAAACTGCTGTCTCTCGAAGGGGGTTAAATGATTGTATTTTCACCCAATGGCCGTTTTTGCCCACCTGGATCTAATGTGTTACCCCGATCTTGCAAACTCAGGACTGTTGTTTTTGAAAGTCAATCTGTCTCACATTTCATCTTCCTCTTTTCCTGCTGCTTCCTCTTTTCCCAGCATTATTGTCCTTTTTCTAGTGGATTCCTGCCTTCTCATGATGTGCCCAAAGTAGAGCAGCCTCAGTTTCTTTATTTTTGCTTCTAGGGACAGTTCTGGTTTGATTTGATCTAGAAGCCAGATATTTGTATTTCTTGTGCTCTGGGGTCACCTGCAAAGCTCTCCTCCAACACATTTCACCTAGATCAGCCTTTTTCCCTTTCAGGTTTTCCCTTCCCTGTCCAGCTTCCATGTAGCAATCAAGAGAGCCTTGGTCGGCTTGATCTTCGCCTTCCTCTCGAGCAACACACCCTTACACGTTGGGGCCTTTCAAAATTCCTTCAAGTCTCAGTCTGGTCCTAATTTCCCAGCTGCAGTCTTTGTTTGAAACAATCTCCGCTTCTTCCTGGTCAGCATTAAAGTTGCCCCATTTTTCTGTAGTCATGATACTGTATTTGTTTCCTTAATGCTCTTTTGGAATCTCCACCTGTCTGTCTTCTGTGCTGTCAAGGTGGAACCAACTTAAACTGACCCTAATAGGGGGTTTAAGGTAAGTGAGATATTTAAGGGATGGTTTCCCCCCCCCGTGTGTGTGTGTGTGTGTGTGTGTGTGTGTGTGTCTAATACTGGCAAGTCGGAACCAACTTATAGTGACTGCTTTCAAGGTAAGTGAGATATTTAAGGAATGGTTTGACCAGTTCCGCTCCCCCGGTCAGTTTCCATAGCAAAACGGGATTTGAACCCTGTTCTCCAGAGTCCTCATCTCTCGCACTTTCACCTCCCGAATGAGTGTCCATGGCTGAGCAGGGATTTGAACCCTTGACTCCACAGTCCCAGTCCATCCCTCTATCCACTGCAACTCATGGGGGACCTAATCTCCTAGTAGTTACAGGACAGACCTCTGTCCAGTCTTCAGGCAGACCAGGGCGGGGAATTCAGCCTGGATGGCCAGCCTTTCCTCCATGACCATCATGCCTTCCAATATCTCCCTGCTTAGGCCATTTCCCATTGTTTTTATGTCTCCCTCCCCCATTTTAAAATGTTTAAATGCCTCTTCTAAGGCTTAATTAATGGCCGTAAGAGCATTAAGTGGAAATACGCAGAAGAATGTGGCCCAGGGACTCCTCTGAGGTGGAATTTTGCTGCTTTTGTGTGCAGTGGTCCTTGAAAACTTTTGAAATACCCCCTTTTTAATCACACGCCCTCTTTGTAAAGGGAGGCACACGCAGGGAGGGTGGCCTCGTGAAAGAGCTCAACGCAACAGGTGGATGGTCTCCGGGGCACGTTGTTCGTCATCTCTTGTACACACTGCGAGTCAAACTCTTGTGGGCACCAAGGCAGAACGTGCTTCCGGATTTGTCGTGGAGCTTAGAAGTATGATTCAGCTTTTAGCAATCTGGGAAAGGCGGCGGGAAGGTTTCAGCGGGAGAGACGCACCATCAAGCCAATTCAGCTTTTAGCAATCTGGGAAAGGCGGCAGGAAGGTTTCAGCGGGAGAGACGCACCGGCAAGCCAAGCCAAAAAAAAAAGAAAGAACAGCAGGCCTGTGCCAAAGAAAGGGTCAAAGCGAGACCTGCGATAAAATGTTGTGGTACAGACTGGTCTTGTTCAGGAGCCAGCCAGCCAGCCATGCCCTCAAACACTCCATTTCTCTCCCATACATGCTAACTGTTGCACCCCATCTCTCCGGCCACGGAGAGTAGTCTTAGCCATACTGTTTTGCTCCCTCCACTTAGAATTTGTATCTCACTCTTCCCTGTAAATGTTTGGGTTTTAAGGAGCCTGAGGGTGTGACCACACAGCTGGAAAAGTGGGTCTGGTCACACCAAGAAAGGGCTGCTTTGGAGGGAGTGATCTGCCTTCCATCAGCCCTTCCACCCTCCAGGGAATTGTCCCATCCTGGTTCCAAAGAGGAGTCGCTCTACTGCTGGACCTAAAAAGTCCAGCTTGGGCATGGATTGGGGTGGGGTGGGGTGGGGGAGCGCCATCCGCTCCATGCCCCCTTGTGCCTTGTGCCATCACCAGGAAACACATTGCCCCCATCAGCTCCACAAGCAGTCTGAAATGTGGTCCATTGTGATCCCACCCTTGGAGTATGGGATGAGCCATGCCATTGAGCATGGCTACCTAGCCCCTCTTCCCTCTTGCCCACGGGTGACACCGTTTCGGGGCCGCGTGAGTCAGCATCAGTACTTCTAGGATATGATGTCGATAGACTTGTGAGGCAGGGGAAAACCTCCCAGGAGCAAGGATCAAAGCAATCATGAGAGCTGTGAGGAAGGAGGTATTTGGGTATCCCCCAGCGACTGCTGACACTCTCCTTTGGAGGCCCCACCAAATCTCCTGTTTCAGAGGGATCAAAACTGTTTGGGCTTTGGAAATGGGTGGGGATGGAGGAGGAACAGCAAGAAAGGAGACCAGAATTAGAAAGTAGACCAGACAAGGTTGTTTCTTCTGTCATGGAGTGGCAGCTTACTCTCTAAGGCCCTGGGGAGCCTTGGAAAATGGAGGGGGGGGAGGGAAGAGGGAGCTTTCCACTCATTGAAATGAAATATTTCCACTACCTCATCCGGGTTCTGCCAGTATCAATTTATGCCAACAGGATTTTGCCTGATAACATAGAGCATTAAAACACAACAGAAGGTTGTAGTTCTTAAAACAAGAACAACAGTCTGTTAAAAGAACTACACAACACACACACACACACACCATGGCAGAGTTTCACTGTCTGCTGATTCCTTCCAGTGCTGGTTTTAACCGATAAAGCTCTAAACGGCTTGGGCCCCTGTTATCTCAAAGAGCAGGTTCCCCCTTTATGAACCTGTCTGGGCGTTAAGATCCTCAGGAGTGGCTTTCCTCTCGGTCCCTCCACCTTCCCAGGTGTGCCTGGTGGGGACACAGGAAACGGCCTTCTCTGTGGCTGCTCCCAGACTTTGGAACTCCCTCCCACTGGAGGCCAGGCTGGCCCCCGTCTTGGCTGTCCTTCCTCATGCCGGCAAAGACCTTTCTCTTCAGGCAGGCCTTCCCTGAGAGCCTGACAATAAGTGGGATGGTTTCTAGTTTGCTGCTTCTAAATCTGTTATCTGCAATTTAATGTAATTTTTAAAAAATATAATGTTATTCGTTATTTAATATTTAATTGACTGCTGTTAGCCTTTAACACTGCATTTTTAATGATGCAAGCCCCCTTAGGTCCTTTTCTAGGAAAAAGGTGGGATGGATAAACAAACAAACAAAAAACAAAAACAAAAAAACAGGGAGGAGTGGGGAGGTAAATGGTACTTCTTGGAAGGCTCAGGCAGTGGTGATTCGCCTTTGAAGGACATCACAGTTTTTCTTTTCATTGAAGACCACAAGGTATCCATTTTTCAAACCTGGAAGTGGACTTCTAACTATTTCCAGGTTAGCTGGTTGGTTTACACGTGTTGACATGTTTGGGGAACTGGGCACAGTCCCCAAAAGACGTTCGGGGCTGAAAATTGGCCCCCAGACCTTCCAAAGTTTCCCATCCATAGAGTAAACAACTCATCTTGAGGGTTCGGCTATACGGACAATAAGAAACAAGGTTGAATCAATTTTAGCATTAATTCATTTGATTTATAAATTCCTGGGCACATGATGCATGGATGACATTGGGTTGTAACGTTGGGTAGTTTGTTTGTTTGTTTGTTTGTGTGTTTGTTTGTTTGTTTTTGAAGAGGCCAGCAGTTGGCTTTTAGAAATACGTCAGATCCTAACTTGATTCAATGCAGTTTTGTGGATGTGAACACTGCTGTCGCTTTAAAGTTGTGCCTATGTGGATTTTGGGTGGCAGGAGCATTGCCATTTTTTTCTTTAACTTTTTTTAATAAGAAATATTTTAAAAATGTTTAGTGATGCATCACCTAGTGCAGTGCAACAGCATCTCACATGATTCACCACCACGTCCTTGAAGAGCAGCCGGGGTGCAGAGTGGACCCTCCAATCCAATATCCCTGGAGTCGCCACTGGCTGTGGAGAGAGAGCAGGCGAAGAGAGGCATTTTCCTCACACGTCGGTGGCAAAGGCTGGGCTTCCTGGACTACTGGGGTCCCAAGACAAGGGATAGACTGGACGACAATACTTCTCGTTTCCACTGCTGCTGCTTGGAATACCTAGAGAGGAAGGTGCTGCCTCTCAGAGACCAAGGGCCATTGTATGCAATAAACTAGAGTTTACAGTATGCATGGGTGGGAGAAAGGCAGGATACGATAAATGGAAATGAGCTGTTTAAAATCTTTCTCTCTCTCTCTCTCTCTCTCTCTCTCTTTCTCTCTCACACACACACCCACACACACACACACACACACACACACACACA